TATGCGTGTAAAGACAGTAATATTGTACACTTCTGATACAAGATGAATTTTCTGAAAATGGATTCAAGACAAAGGCCACATGATATTTTCTTTTGAGTAATGAGTAACTATAAAGGTTTTCTACACATCGTGAAGAAAGATAAGTCAAATAAAAAGTTCATGGACATTATAAATAGGAAAGATACATGAAACAGAATATAATGTGCTTGTAATTTAAATACCTTATGAGTCTACATAATAACTATGTATTAGTGTATATGACATAAATACATTTTTACTTGTAAAATATTTTTCTCAATATTTTATGGCTTTGATTATCATCAGTATACAGATACACTTACTTATTGTCATGAATAAACAGTGTTGAATTACAAATCATTAAGTATATGAAGGTTCTTTATACCAGAGTTGTGATTACATAAAAAAAATGGGAATAAAACAATATTAAGATTGTTAATTTATTATGTAAAAGAATTATATTTGCACCTTGGTATGTCAGTTAAAAGCAAATGACATTCTTAGTTTAAGATATAATTCAAAAACTACATAACAGAGTATATATATCACTTGTAATAATTACAGAGTATAATCCCCTACACGTTTTCAAAAGATGGAAGTGAAAATATTTACAAAAACACATGAAAATGAGAATGACAGTAACTAATCAGAAATATGAGGTAATCAAAATCATCTACGCACAATCAGCATACGTAAATAGAATTAAAAAATAATCATATATACAAATTCCTTCCTTATGAAAATGCACTGCATGTTTCAGAACAGAAAGAATAAAAACATACTTTTATCAATTTCAATATAATTCTTAGTAACAATATTCACCGACTTGCACATATGTCCATTGCAAATTCATATAGGCATAAAGTAGATGTTACACATGCTTTCAAAGGATAAATATATCCTAATTTTTTAAACATTTTTCCAAATCAAAATAAGCTTAGAGAAAAATATACATTATAGAGTCACTTTGATTCTTGTGATTATATGTTAGCTAGAAACCTGCATTAAAGCACTTTATATTTTTCTGGCTCCTTATAGGATGCTCCAGATAAAATTTGGAATATATGATAATATGCTAAGTAGGATATCTTCACTGTAAAGCCATAGAATGTAGCTGAATTATATAGATATAAGTAGACTATCTACTTCATGTGAAATTGGAGATATCTACCCTTTTTCTAAAATACATTAAATACAATCAAATATGAAACTAAAATTCCACAACATCATAAGTCTTTTCATTCGGGACAATTATAAAAATACAAACTTTACAAAAGATGGTGAATCTGTAAGACATTCTTTGTTTAAAATATCTGTCTGCCTTAAACGCTAATGGAGTTTGGAACAATTTCTGGGTCAAGCCATTCAAACTCCCACTGACGGTCAATGTTTCGTTTCTTCATTTCCAAACTCAAACGCTTGAGGTCTTTCTGGAATCTGAAGGGAAAGGAATTCTCATGAGTAAATTGCAGATATGAGAGTTTACATGAAGATTTCTGCGATAGTCATTAAAGAATAAAATTCAATTGATATCTATGAACTTACAAGTTTTCTGTATTAATAAAATACCATTTCTAAAATTATATATCAGCATTATTACCACTCTTTGATTCCAGAATAAATAAAACACACAAAGGTCATACACAAATTAGATTAGGGATGAGGGTAGCGAGAACTCCTTTGAGAGCCATATGCTTACATCATTCCGATATGTTTTTATAATTGTTTCTATTTTCACGCATTTCTTCTCTCTATCGATCACTTTCTCGAACTTAGAGCGTATTTATCGCCTCCTATCCGTTGTTACCACGTGATTTGTTCATTATCTCCACACATGCAATCATTTATCAGTACTGTGATGCATGCCTACGAGTTTGCACCACTTCAGCGCATACAGTCACAAGCATTCATCAAAAATCATCACAACCCAATTCACATCTTTGGAACTATGCTGCGTACTCATCAACGATACGTTACGAGTGCCCCGCCGCCTGCGATCAATAAGTAGCCACGACAGGATCAATAAGAGGTACAATCCTGCTTCGCATTGTCATCTTTTATTTTTATAACTATTGGTCATCGTTTTGGCTTCTGTTATTGATTTCTGCGTAATATACAATAGCTTATATACAATAATATATGTGTGTGTGTGTGTGTGTGTGGTGTGTGTGTGTGTGTGTGTGTGTGTGGTGTGTGTGTTGTGTGTGTGATGTGTGTTGTGTGTGATGTGTGTGTGTGTGCATACATGTAACAATATACATAATATATATACTTATATATATAGAGAGTACAATCTGCGAGAAATATACTATCCTATAAGTAACTTATATTATATTGTTGAGCACACATAACACACACACCCACACACACCACACAACACACAGCACACACACTACACACATACACACAGCGCAGCACTTTGAGAGCCAGTTTGGTGAAAGTCCAGCGAGCACATGCATGATCACACACATCTCACAACAGGTCATCACACACCCTACCACACACATTTGGCTCAGGAAGTAGGGCCAGTGCAATCAACACACTCTCTACCTCTATGATATTAGTAATATAGATCTTATTCTTATAATATAAAAGCATATAATAGTAAGTAATAAAAAAAAATATACTGAATAGAAAACCATATAAATCCAATTAATAAAATTAAAAATATTAGTGTATAAAAGGTGAAAATAGTTAAATAATTTCAATGCGAAACATGTAACAAAGATATAGATACAATCAAAACCACAAACGCACTCACATACCTAGAACACATAAAGTTATCTAATTCAGTAGTCTTAATTATTACGAAAATAAGCATTCTCTAGTTCTCTCGATATAACACAGAAAACTGCTATATAATTCTTCTAGGTCTCAACAACCAAAACATCTCACAGAAACAATGAGAAACGCAGAGAGAAGCTAAAGAAATCGAAGAAGAAGAAGAAGCATAGAGAGAAGAGAAGAAAGAAGAAAGAAGAAGAAGTAAGTAATGAGGAAGTAAAGAAGGAGAGGCATGAAAGATCAGTCATACTGATAAAGATAGCGACTAGTCCTGATGGTAGCATACGATCATAGGGGCATCAGATCCGCACAAGAGGCAGTCAACGCGTGACATGTCTATCGCTTGATCCCACTGTACTGGTGACTAGTACTGGGACCAGAACTGGATCTCGCTAAGCGACGAAGACTCAGTTGGTTCATGAAGCGTACGAGTTGATGAATGTAGATCCATGTCTGTACATGGGCACCTAAGAAGACTACGCACAGAAGACATGAATCTGGATAGCATACACAATGAAGCTACCCTAGAGCATGAGCACGCAAAGAAGTAATGAAGAAGTAGGAGACATTAAGAAGTATGACCAATGACACGCAAGGACGCAGAACGTAATACGCACATGACTAGACACGAAAACTGTACACGTAGAGGACTAGTAAAGACAGATGCAGACATGTAAAGAAGAAGAAGAAGGCAGGAGAAGAAGAAGAAGAAGCAAAGAAGAGGAAGAAAAAAAGAAAGAAAGAAAGGAATCCCTTGATCCAGCTGCCTGCAGCGTCTCCACCATGTCCTGCTTTTCTCCATTGTCCTGCCTTGCTCTTGCCTGTCAGCCTCCCTGATTTGCCGTTGCTGTCTCGGCTTCTCGCCTACTAGTTTCTGGACCTACTCTTGCTCTATATCCATTCCTGCCTGCCTGCCTGCCCTGATTCACATATCCATGACTTTTGCTCTCTCCATTCATCTACGAAATGTAAATGACTAGACCCTGCCTGTATATACTGTCCGTATCGCGAACTAAAGACCATTACTCTATACTCATAGCCTGCCTGTACTGTCTGCTTCTGCCTAAGACACTGCTCGACTCTCATCAGCTCCTGTACTGGCATTTCTGCGCCATGCTGTATGGGTACTATTACGAGCACTTGAATGCCTGACCACGTCAATGCCCACTGGAGCACTAGTTTCTCGACCACTTGCTATCTGTCGCATGACTTGCTTTCGAGAACATATCAATATTTCAACAACTATATAATATTGCTCAGATATACCACTGTGCTGCCCGCCCTGTAAACAAATAAAATAGTCTGAGGTATTATATTACATAAACTCAAGAGGAAACAGGTATAAAAATAGAATAACGCGAGAATAAACAGACAGATATCAAGAGAAATATTAGTGAAATAAGCAAACTGATATTAACATAAAACGACGTTGTTTGTCTTAAGTGGTAATGGAAATTAGGAACAAGCAATCTAATTACCATCCACGAGAGTGATACACACTGCTAACAATCAAGAAACACATCATCAATTTGTCAGACCAAATGAGATCTTATGAAAACCCTGTATAAATAAAGAATGCATTAGACATCATTTAGTCATGGGGTTGATTATGTCCGAGCGCCAACGCATAATGGGCATGGAAAAGGTATCTGCGATTAAACTGAAAATTTATGTGACAAAATGTAGAAGCCCACTTTCTTTTTTCCTTTTGGTATTATTCTCTCCTATATATGTAGTAAGTGGGGAGAGTTGTGGGGGGAGAACAGAAGAGCAGCGATAGAGGGTACAATGAGGAGGAGGAAGATAAAAAGGAGGAAAATGGTAGAGCTGGAAAGTTGGGCAGCTGCTGACCAAGCGAGCCAACGTAGGCAAGGAAAAGGTAGATGAAGGAGGGAGTAAAGGGGAGGAGAAAGGAGATGGTTGTAGCCAGCCTTACAAAGGAAGATAGAGGGATGAAAGGTGGGAAGCTAAAGTGGAGATAGAGGGACGAGGTTGGTGTGATGCACGGAAGTGAGAGACTGAGCAATGTAAAGAGAAAAGATATGCGATTGGTGTAAGAGTTGGGAAAGCGCAATCACTCAGAAGATCAATGAATTTAAGATACGTAGAGAGAGAGAAGAGGTAGTATAAGAGAATGAAGACATTGTTAGAGAGTATTGTTATAAATATTGTAGATAATGAGTAGTAGAATGATAGAGAGAAGAGAGAGAGAGATTAGATGAAGAAGAGAAGAGATGTAAGAGAGGAGGAAGAGTAGAGAGTACGAGAGAGAGCAGAGCAACCGACTGTGGAGAGTATGCTTGAAAAGCTGTAGTTTAGGATTTACGTTCGTGGAAGAATAATATGTTGTACATCTCCAGACTTCTTGCTAACGTCTAGTGCACTTGTTGAATTCAAGACGCTTTAGCTCAATGGTGGGCTCTACTGCGTTTTGTGAGCGGAATACGTGTGATATATGTGTGGTCACATCACAGTGAGCATGTCCTGAACACGAATGAGGATAGAGAGAGCGAAAGAGGAGCAAAAGCGAACGTCGTTGAAACTCATCGCGCCAGTATTAAATACTGAAAAATACATATGAAAAGGAATTAGACCTTCACAATTATCCATCTTTAGATACTAGTGCCTAAATCATTCTCATTTTGCCCCATTAATGATTTTGAATAATCCTTACCTTCTTCTGCATTGCCTGGAATATCTTTCAAACCAACACCACTCTGATCCCGCGGTTTCACAAGTTCCTCACGCCACCATTTCAGTTCGTAATCGCCTGTCAGTTTATCTGGACTGTCTGTAAAATATATGGGGGCCATTAATCCCTGTACTAATTTATTTATCGTCATAAGCAGTCATTCAAATTTTGAAGGAAAAAACAAATATTCACCATCATATATTAGAAATACTGATATTGTTAACATACATGGCCATGTATATTAATATACTGTGAATATAAACACCATTAAACCATGTCCTTATCATACTTCTTTTTAAAGATTGAAAAGTTAGACATGCACCTACCATAATGGTGTCGAACAACAGTGCTGACATATTTTTTAATAGCATGATACAATGGAACTGCATCATCTCGGTATGGGTAGTAAGGCAAGATCTCTTTGTCCAGGACGCCACGTGCCTCAAGCTCCTTCTCCACTTGTCCTTCTCTTTCGAAACTCCATCGATCGAATCCTCGCTTCATGTGCTCAAAGATGCCATCAAGACCCTGTGTCATACAGCAATCGACCCATCCACCAGGGGACACTAGTTTCTCCAGACCTCTCCTGGAAAAGAAATGATAAATAAATAGTCTGAAATACACTTGGCAAATGCTTTTATATCTTTTTTAAGTTTGAAACACATTGTTCTGTGGTCATAGGTTGTATATACATTTTTAGATGCTTACTCATCATAGGTCAATATAAAAACAAAGCTATTTGCAAATGACATCTCTCTCACTTTGAATGATATAAAAGTGCTAAAAACAGGCATGAATCAGAAAGTATTATTGCTTCCAAAGACACACTATAAAGACAGCAATTCTGTAATTCCAGGTAAAGGAACCCTAGAGTAACATATAATGATCTTACGTGTTAATAGCAAGCAGGAAGAGGAAGTGTGGGGCCATAAGTTTGAAGAGAGGATGCGATGGGGATAAATTCCGATGTGTACAGATCACCACTCCTTCCATAAGCAGGTGAGTATATCCCAGGTGCGTAAGAGCCTGATGGTGTTGAGCTTCGGCGTTGTTGTAAAACATCTTTGCTACCAGCCAGGTGTTTGGCGGGTCCTTGGGTGTGTACACCTGGAGAACAAGAAAGGCAAAATAAGGTATGTGAAACACTATATCACAGGATATGATTTCTTTTGCATATACAGTATGAAAACTATTTTTGATTGGTACAGTTCTTTATTCCATATTGACATAATGAAATGTTGAATTATCACCTCCAAAACAGAACTTGTGATTAATTTTGCTTCTTAAAGTATTTCCCTTTCATAACTCATTTTTAAGAAACATCAAGTAATCATAAAGAAGTACTGCATCATATATGGTGAAATGTATGATTAATCAATCCTCCTTTGCTCATTAGCAAAAAAAAAAAAAAAAAAAAAAAAGAAATAGTGCAAATAATTTTAAAATATAACACAAACTTTGAAAAAAAAATAGATCATAATATGCAACTATGGGTAAGCTATAAAAAAATATCGCAATCACAAGAATTAGTATACTCACTGGATTATCATGTCCACCTTCTTGCTTTAGCTGAATTGCAACTGGCATTAGCTTTTCTTCCTTGTTAAGGTAGAACAGCGCAAAAGGAGATGCAAGCTGCAAGAAAAGAAAATTATTTGTTTTCTTCCTTCTCATTTCAACTACATAAGCCACCAAATATATAGATATAAAAGTAAATGAAGAACTATTTATTGGCTTTCTACTCTAAGCTACTTACTTCTGCATTGTCTTTGTGTGGGAGGCCGTCCGTAATCTCTAGATCGCAGATAAACAATTTATTCTTCTCCAGTGCTTCGGAAAGGGTCATATCATCCAATAATCCAGAGACGGTCTCTTCTGTTACTGCAAACCTGAAAAAATTAATTGATATATGACATTTCTCCCCACGGAAAATGTAATATAATTTAGGTGCCACAGCATACAATGCGACACATATAATATATTAAAATCCAGATAGTATAAAAATTATCTGATAAACTCTTAAAATAACAATTTGCAATTCAAATCCAAATACTATAAAAACTATTCAATAAACTTGTAAAATAACGTTACAATTCAACATTTATAAATCACATTCAAATCCAAATAGTAGAACAACCTGATAAACTTAAAATAACACGTCAACATGAGAAAGAAATAAGGAAATGACTGTATGATAACTGCAAATGCCTGCATGATATGACTCGCTACCTTGAGCATTCAATAGCTTTTCATACACCTTATTGTTAATCTATTATAGCTTTAATAAAGCGCATCAAAAACTTACTTTTCAGGGATCTTCTTACACGCTGCTATAACGTTGGGGTTGACTCCTTGTAGGCGCTGAAGGCCAAACCACCAGTCCTCTTGCCACACTGACATACACTGCAAAGGAAAAGGGGAATCAGTGACAAGAATGATACTTTTGCACAAATCAGTTCTCTAAATGATTGATAAAGAGTGAAATTTACCATGACATGAAGCAGTTATTTAACTCTGACAACTTGGTATATAGGTTGTGTGTATTCAATACATATCAATATAAATATGTGAATATAAATGCAAACGTAAACACAATTCTCTTCTCTCTCTCTCTCTCTCTCTTCTCTCTCTCTCTCTCTCTCTCTCTCTCTCTTCTCTCTCTCTCTCTCTCTTTTCCTCCTCTCTTTCCTTCTCTTTCCTCCTCTCTTTCCTCCTCTCTTTCCTCCTCTCTTTCCTCCTCTCTTTCCTCCTCTCTTTCCTCCTCTCCTCTTCCCCTCTCTTTCCCCTCTCTCTTCCCCTCTCTCTCTCCCCTCTCTCTCCCTCCTCTCTCTCCCCCTCTCTCTCCCCTCTCTCTCCCCTCTCACACACACACACACACACAACACACACACACACACACACACACACACACACACACACACACACACACACACACACACACACCACACAGAGACACAGAGAGAGAGAGAGAGAGAGAGAGAGAGAGAGAAGAGAGAGAGAGAGAGAGAGAGAGAGAGAGAGAGAGAGAGAGAGAGAGAAGAGAGAGAGAGAGAGAGAAAGAGAGAAGAAAGAAAGAAAAAAAGAAAAAGAAAAGAAGAGCAAGAGAAAGAGAAAGAGAGAGAAGAGAAAGAGAAAAAGAAAAAAGAAAGAGCAAGAGAAAGAGAAAGAGAGAAAAGAGCAAGAGAAAGAGAGAAAAAGAGAGAGAGAGAGAAACCTCACTCCTCAAACACCTCATACTTCTCACCCATAAAGAAACACCCATGTAACTTGAGTCCCCTTACCTTAGGTTCCCCAAGACTCTGATTGTAGACTTTTCGCAGGTCGTCCAAAGTCTTCCACTTGCTTGTCGTCCACTCAATTAATTTCGTCTTGGCAAGAAGGTTCAACTTTTCTGTTGCAAAAGTCCACTGCAAAATTTTGAATGGAGTCAGGGCATTGATTTTTTATTATTATTATTATTTACAAGACTGTAATAGCTGATTCATAATAGATCTTTTATTATTATTTACAAGACTGTAATAGCTGATTCATAATAGATTTTTATTATTATTTACTGTAATAGCTGATTCATAATAGATCTTTTATTATTATTTACAAGACTGTAATAGCTGATTCATAATAGATTTATTATTATTTACAAGACTGTAGCTGATTCATTTACAAGACTGTAATAGCTGATTCATAATAGATTTTATTATTATTTACAAGACTGTAATAGCTGATTCATAATAGATCTTTTATTAATTTACAAGACTGTAATAGCTGATTCATAATAGTTGACACAATTCATAATAGATCTTTTTATTATTATTTGTAATAGGGATTATAATAGCTGATTCATAATAGATTTTATTATTATTTACAAGCTGGTAATAGCTGATTCATAATAGATCTTATTATTATTTAGGCTGTAATAGCTATCATAATAGATTTTATTATTATTTACAAGACTGTAATAGCTGATTCATAATAGATCTTTTATTATTATTTACAAGACTGTAATAGCTGATTCATAATAGATCTTTTATTATTATTTACAAGACTGTAATAGCTGATTCATAATAGATTTTTATTATTATTAACAAGACTGTAATAGCTGATTCATAATAGATCTTTTATTATTTACAAGACTGTAATAGCTGATTCATAATCTTTTATTATTATTTACAAGACATGATTATTCATAATAGCTGATTTATTATTATTATTTACAAGACTGTAATAGCTGATTCATAATAGATCTTTTATTATTATTTAACAAGACTGATAGCTGATTCATAATAGATCTTTTATTATTATTTACAAGACTGTAATAGCTTGATTCATAATAAGACTGAGGTATTATATTTTACATAGGATGTAATAGATTGATTATAATAGATAGATCTTTTATTATTTATTTAAATAGCTGATCTAGTAATTTGTAATAGCTGATTCATAATAGATCTTTTATATTATTACAAGATAATAGCTATTCATATAGATTTTATTATTATTTACAAGACTGTAATAGCTGATTCATAATAGATTTTATTATTATTACAAGACTGTAATAGCTGATTCATAATAGATCTTTTATTATATTTACAAACTGTAATAGCTGATTCATAATAGATTTTTTATTATTTCATAGCTGATTCATAATAGATCTTTTATTATTATTTACAAGACTGTAATAGCTGATTCATAATAGATTTTTATTATTATTTACAAGATCAGTATATAATATGTTTCAATTCCACTTGTAATTTAGACAAGTGAATAAAAAAATAAAAAATAAAAAGTACTTACGTAATATTCTTCTGAAAATTTCTCATCTGATGGCAAATTCTCAATCTGTAATAGAAGAAAAAAAAACATATAAACAATTATCCATTAATTTTCAATTGTAAACCAAAATAGAAGAATATAAAAAGAATGAAAAAAAAATCTGATTTTTTTTTTTCACTGAACCGAGAAATGGTGACATATCCTTAGTGTAAAGAAAAAAAAAAAAAAAAAAAAAAAAAAAAAAAAAAAAAAAAAAAAAAAAAAAATATATATATATATATATATATATATATATATATATATATATATATATATATATATATATTATATATATATATCAGCTAAAATAAGAGTAAACTTATTTAGATACTGTAATATGGTATTTGACACATCCATTTGAATTACATCATTATTGATATGGACAAGCGAAATGTTTGTGTGTGTATGTGTGTGTGTGTGTGTGTGTGTGTGTGTGTGTGTGTGTGTGTGTGTGTGTGTTGTGTGTGTGTGTGTGTGTGTGTTGCGTGTGTGCGTGTGCGTGTGTGTGAGTGTGCGTGTGCGTGTGTTTGTTGTGTGTGTGTGTGTGTGTGTGTGTGTGTGTGTGTGTGTGTGTGTGTGTGTGTGTGTATGTGTGTGTGTGTGTGGTGTGTGTGTGTGTGTGTGTGTGTGTGTGTGTGTGTGTGTGTGTGTGTGTGTGTGTGTGTTGTGGTGTGTGCGTGTGTGTGCGTGTGCGTGTGTGTGTTGTGCGTGCGTGTGTGCGTGCGTGTGTGAGTGTGCGTGGCGTGTGCGAGTGTGAGTGTGTGTGCTTGTGCATGTGCGTGTGCGTGCGTGCGTGTGCACCTCCAAAATATAGTATCGTCTTCAATTCACTTTTTGACAAGTGCTTCCGTTTCCTGTGTCAAAAAAAATTAAAAATAAATAAAAAGACATATAATTGAATAAACAAACATTGATAAATATTTACAATATAATAAATAATAAATATTATAAATGTTACAAATTATAATACAAAAACGTGTATTTTTGAAATCGTCACATCCTATTGTATTTGTCTTATCATTAATAGTGTTAGTTACTATTACTACTAGTGCTACCGCTATGATGTTCATAATAGCGATAATGATGGTGGTGATGGTGATGATGGTGAAGATGATGATGATGATGGTGGTGGTGGTGATGTGGTGGGTGGTGGTGGTGGTGGTGGTGATGATGGTGGTGGTGATGATGATGGTGGTGGATGGATGGATGATGATGATGATGATATGATGATGATGATGATTGATGATAGTGATAGCGATGATGGTGATGATAATAAATGAAACAAAAATAAACATAAATCACAACTCAGTTACCAGAACAGAAATTTATCTTGTCACTATCATTATTCTTCATTTAGAATCATACAGTTACTACGTATAATAATATCTTTCGTTCATTTTTTTTTTTTTTTTTTTTTTTTTTTTTTTTTTTTTTTTTTTTTTTTTTGCGTGCGTAATATATCAATGCAAAAAACGACTTGCTGTCATGAGGTGTCTCCCCCCCCCTCTCCCTCTCCCTCGTTTAACAGGATTTCCGACCTTGAATTTTAAACATAATGATATGCATAGAGAAACTCTAAGAAAAACTACCTCTCTCTCTCTCTCTCTCTCTCTCTCTCTCTCTCTCTCTCTCTCTCTCTCTCTCTCTCTCTCTCTCTCTCTCTCTCTCTCTCTCTCTCTCTCTCTCTCTCTCTCTCTTCTCTATCTCTCTTATCTCTCTTTATCTCTCTCTCTCACGCACACTCACACACACACACACACACACACACACACACACACACACACACACACACACACACACACACACACACACACATACACATACATAATAATGCTAGTATTGCTATTACCATTGACAATAACAAAACAACAACAACAACAACAACATGATGATGATAACAATGGAGAACAAAAACGAAGATAACTATCCTATAAAAACATATCCGAAACACCAGTTCTTCGAAAACCGGTGCAACAGGAAGTCTCTCTCATCTGAACTTCACTCTTCCAAAGCCTTAAAGATCTGCCCTGTCACTCTTACCCGTAAAAAAAAGTGAACGGCGGTAACCAACGGAGACAGCGATAAGGTTGCTACACATGGGTAACCTCTTGACTTTTTCTTTATATAATCTTTTGTTTTGGTTTCTTTATTTTCTCTCTATCGTCTCTTTTTCTCTCTATTATCTCTCTTTCTCTTTCTCTTTCTCTTTCTCTTTCTCTTTCTCTTTCTCTTCTCTCTTTCTCTCTCTCTCTCTCTCTCTAACACAGTTATATTTTCTGTCTCTGCCTTTGTTTGTTTGTCTGTCTGTCTGTCTGTCTGTCTGTCTGTCTGTCTGTCTGACTGTCTGTCTGTCTGTCTGTCTGTCTGTCTGTCTGTCTGTCTGTCTATCTATCTATCTATCTATCTATCTATCTATCTGTCTGTCTGTCTGTCTGTCTATATGTATGTATATATGTGTTGTATTATAATAAAACCACTTGTGGGAAAAGCGCACAGACCTTAAACATTTTTCGCAAGGAAAGTATATGTCTAGAAATGTATCTGTTGTGTGTACGCGTATGATTAAAAAGTATGAGTATCAACATTAGTATGAGTTTGTGCATGTGCATGTGTGCATGTATGAATATGTACATGTACGAATAAATAAAACAACTTTACGGTACTTTCACACAGGTCCAACATACCAGTTTACAACGCACAGCCTAGCCGGTAGTTCGCAGAGTGTAAACACCATTTTACTCACCTTCACACCATTCCATTCTTTGTGACGAGGGTCGTTAAGTACAAAGAAGAAAAAAAAACACGCAATTTAAGGCACTATTATACTTTACATGTACAACGAGGCTCTGATGTAAGATCGCAAATAAATAAGGAAAGTTTAGTGAACACCCTGCCAAGTAATTCGTGAACACAGTGACGACAAAACCCTTAAAATGGCTTCTGTATACGAGATCTATTCTCAGATATGGCTCATCCTCACGAACTTGGCACAGCACTTGGCTACTTGAAGAGGGTGTGGCACAGTGACTGGCCACATTTTTTTTTCGTGGTAAAATACTCTGCAAAATACGTAGAGGATTACGCATACCTGTCCCTTCCTCTCTCTCTCCCCCCACCCCCCTGCCACCCGCTATAAACCTGTCACTGGGTTCACTGATTCACTCACTCGTTCACTCAATCCCTCTCTTATGCGGCCCTCACTCCTACACACACTCGTTGTTTATTTATTTTAGTTAATCCTTCATTAACAGAAAATAAAAATGTTTCCCGAGTCATGATCCTTTCAAATTGTATTCTAATGGGACACATCCGCCAACTGGCCTCGATCTCGCCCCCAATACACTTGACAGATAACAATTTTCTTTATCAGACCGTGGGAACGAACGAGTAAAGGGTATCATATTGAAATTAACTTTTTTATAACATCCTCTAAATCTATTGGCATTGCTTTTGTTTCGTTTTTAAGGGAAGAGATGGGTTAATCCGTGATTGAAGTTAGTGTTATTTGTTTGTTTGCTTTCACAGCTCGCAATGGCCATGACATTTCGCATTCATATTTACCTGCGCGGGTCCGTCTTCCACTTTCTGTGCGTATCTGTACAGCTCTCTCTTTCCCTGGACATCTGTATCACGGCGCTCCTTGTCGGGGTCGTCTTGGGGTAAGAAGCAGTCGTGGAGGTGTATTGTGTATCGCTTGTGAGCCACGACCCACCTCTGTAATGGAAACACCCATACACGACCACCGCCCGGGGCTATGTGTGCTGTTTCAGGGGCTTTCTCAGTACCATTCTCCTCGGTTTCCCCGTCAAGCTTGTCATTCTTCTCCAAGCTGTTGTTATTCTGTGGGTCAACCTCCTCTACTTCGATGCGGTCGAGGAACCACGAGGCGGATCCTCGCTTTGACCTCTGGCCGAAGAGGGCCCCCGTGATGGCCGAGAAGATCTTGATGTCTGCGAAGTTATCTCTCCACACTTCCACCTTGGTGATAGGTCCCTGGAGACCCAGATCTGCGCTGATGTCGACGGTGGTCGTGGCGCCGCGCTCGTTGTCATTCCTGAAGACTTTGTTGGACAGGATGGGCGTGGAGGCTCTCCCGTTGATGTCGTGCACCACCACGTAGACATTGGCGTCGGTCCCCGCCCCTCGCCGATCCCCTGTGACGACGTGAAGGCGGTACTGCGGCCGGTCACGCAGGTCCAACATGCTCGACACGGCGTGCACGGGGCGGAGTAGCATCTCCCGAACAGCATCCATGGCTCTCGTGTTTACGTCTTTAATAACCTCTTCCGAATTCAGCAAGAAACTCTATCTCACACAGCTTCTTGGTCGAGCTTTATCACAAGCAACAGGTAGTCCCACGTGAGGCTATAAACACTAACACGGAAGGTCCGATTTTGGTAGCCCGACTGCGTGCGTTTCACATTCCGTCGACGCCTCCGGGCAGCCCATAGACGAAGGAAAGTACGTGTCCTTAATTGCCAGGTTCTGCCGACAGTTCACCTCCGAAACTGCATATACGTTGCCATCCACAAACTATTGCTTATCTGAATCTAGAAGTCCCCTTTTCCAAAGACAATGTCACACACACAAAAAAAATCTAAACTATGCAAGTGTTCGTCCTGAGAACGTGCGTAGAATAGCGTTCCGTCTGTTCACTTCGGCTGCTGGGAAGTGAATGGCGGACCGGCGCTGGAGAGCAGATTTGTAAAGCCGACCCCCCAGCTGCCAGTTACTATATTTCCGTGTTCGTTTTGCCGCGACACGTGACGTAGGTAAGGTAAATACAGTGGCCTTCCCAGTCTCAAATACGTTTGGTGAGTATTCGCGCGATCCTTAGTATTAAGGGGAGACTTTATTTTAGAAAGGATTTTCAGAGTGTGAGCAAAAGTTCCCGAAGCATGTTCGTGCTTATAATAAAAACAGCGCAAGAGGAGTGTTACACAGCATTTTTTTTTTTTCTCTTTAGCGGTTTGTCCTTCCACTTACGTAAATATCGCCTTAACTTTGTTATTCATCATCTTTTCATATCAGAATCCTGTATTCACCCCACATGGAAGCAACTATTACTCATACATAACACCCCACGAAGACTATTACTCATACATAACACCCACATGAAGACTATCACACATGAAACTAACCATCCACATGAACACTATTACTCACACATAACACCCCACATGAAGACTATTACTCATACATAACACCCCACATGAAGACTATTACTCACACATAACACCCCACATGGAAGCAACTACTACTCATACATAACACCCCACATGAAGACTATTACTCACACATAACACCCCACATGAACACTATTACTCACACATAACACCTACATGAAGACTATTACTCATACATAACACCCCACATGGAAGCAACTACTACTCATACATAACACCCACATGAATACTATCATACATCCCACATGGAAGCAACTACTACTCATACATAACACCCCACATGAAGACTATTACTCATATAACACCCACATGAAGACTACTACTCACACATAACACCCCACATGAACACTATTACTCACACATAACACCCCACATGAACACTATTACTCACACATAACACCCCACATGAAGACTATTACTCACACATAACACCCCACATGAAGACTATTACTCATACATAACACCCCACATGGAAGACTATTACTCATCTACTCATACATAACACCCCACATGAAAGACTATTACTCACACATAACACCCCACATGAACACTATTACTCACACATAACACCCCTACATGAAGACTATTACTCACATAACACCCCACATGGAAGCACTACTACTCATACATAATAACACATGAAGACTATTACTCATACATAACACCACATGAAGACTATTACTCATACATACTCCCAATGAAGACTATTATAATCACCCCACATGAACACTATTACTCAACATAACACCCTACATACTAGAACCCACATGGAAGACTTACTCATTACATAACACCCACATGAAGCTATTACTCATACAATAACACATGGAAGCAACTACTACCAACTAACACCCCACACGAAGACTTTACTTCATACATAACACATGAAGACTATTACTACATACCATACACCCACATGAAAACTATTACTCACACAAACACCCCACATGGAACATATTACTCACACAATAACACCCACATGAAGACTATTACTCATACATAACACCCCACATGAAGAATATTTACTCATACAAACACCCACATGGAAGCAACTACTACTCATCACATGAAGACTATTTACCAATACAAACACCCACATGAAGATATTATCATACTAAACACCCACATGGAAGCTATCATACATAACACCCACATGAAGTACATCAAGACTACTACTCATACATAACACCCCACATGAAGACTGTACTCATACATAACACCCCACAAGACATGAAGACTATTACTCATACATAACACCCCACATGGAAGCAACTACTACTCATACATAACACCCCACATGAAGACTATTACTCACACATAACACCCCACATGGAAGCAACTATTACTCATAGACAACATATACCCAACCAGCTGAGCTATTTCCACCAGAACACTAATGTTCACACCACGCTTTCCCAAACTTCTACCTCATTTTCTCTGAAACCGGGAGCCAAGAAATCACTCCAGCACACGTAAACCACCAACTAATACCGTTTTATAATAGCGTATTAATAGCACACTTCGGATAAACTATAACCGGTAGTTCCCAACGACCATTGAGAGCCTTATAGATATCTTAGAGTAGAGAGGGAGAAGATAGAACCTGGCGGAAGTGGTTCTAAATAAGTTGAATAAGTTGTAAGACATATAATAAGTTGTAAGACATATCGACGTAGAAGAATTTGGAGAATGTTAGTTCTAAGAATGTACATATTTGCTGATAAGTGTGTTTATATGACGCAATGCATTCCTATATATATTTTATAATTCACATATTTTCTTTCGATTTTTTTCTTCTTATCTTATTCAGATTCCTCCTTATCTTCGTCCATCTCATCCACCTCTTCTTCCTTTCCCGATTTTTCATTTTCTTTTTCTCCTCTTTTTGTTTCAGTTTCTCTTTTTATTTTCATCTTTCTTCTTCTTCTTTCTCTTTTTCTTTCTTTTTCTTTCTTTCTCTTTATTCTCCTTTATCTTTATCTTTCTCTTCCTCCCTTTCCTCCTCTTCACCCTCCCTTCTTCCGCCTATGTCTCCTCCTCTTCCACCTATTTATGAAACAAAAAATGTCCATTTCACTACATACCTACTTTCTCTTATTTCTCGCTCTTCCTCGATTTATCAGTTTTTTCCTTTCTCCCTTTACGCATCTCCTTCTACGCCTCCAAGCAACAGAATAAAAAACAGAGGGAAAAAAAACGAGAAAATGGTGAGAGGCACAATAACCCCAAGGTTATGCCCTAGATATTACATTCTCTCGCTCTCTGTCTGTCTCTGTCTCTTCTCTCTCTCTCTTCTCTGCTCTCGCTCTCGCTCATCGCTCTCTCTTCTCTCTCTCTCTCTCTCTCTCTCTCTCTCTCTCTCTCTCTCTCTCTCTCTCTCTCTCTCTCTCTCGCTCTCGCTCTCGCTCTCGCTCTCGCTCTCCGCTCTCGTCTCGCTCTCGCTCTCTCTCTCGCTCGCTCTCGCTCTCGCTCTCGCTCTCGCTCTCTCTCTCTCTCTCTCTCTCTCTCTCTCTCTCCTCCTCTCTCTCTCTCTCTCTCTCGCTCTCGTCTCGCTCTCTCTCTCTCTCCTCACCCCTTTCTTTTAAGCTTTCCCTACCCCCCAACTCTTCCTCCTCCCCTCTCTTTCTCTCTCCCTTTCCCTCTTCTTCCTCCTTTTCCCCTCCCTCCCCATCCATTCTCACTCTCCCTTTCCTTCTCTCCCTCTCTCCTCTCCCTCCCTCCCTCTTACCCATTCTCCCTCTCCCTCTTCCTCTCTCCCTCTCTTTATCTCCCTTTTCCTTTCCCTTTCCCTCCCTCCCTCCTCCTTTCCATCACTCTCTTCTTCTCTCTCCCTCACCTTCGCGTCTCCCCGGTGGCTAGTTCATCATTTTATCGTCTGTGTTTTATCCTTTATCACCTTTAAACCATCCCCGTTTCCTGTACAAAGAATTTCAAAACATCTGATTCAGATAACGCTGGCATAGGCCTATGAAGAATACCTGGTAGGAATACATATACGTAGGCTTGTATATAGAATGTGTTGTGTGTTGTGTGTGTGTAGTGTATGTGTGTGTGTTGTGTGTGTGTGTGTGTGTGTGTGTGTGTGTGTGTGTGTGTGTGTGTGTGTGTGTGTGTGTGTGTGTGTGTGTGTGTGTGTGTGTAGTGTAGGTGTTGTGTGTGTGTCTGTGTCTGTGTCTGTGTCTGTGTCTATGTCTCTCTCTCTCTCTCTCGCAGATATATATATAACGTAAGAATAAGTATCCATATCCATAAGCATAGATACAAGAATAAATGTGTATGCTTGCATATGCATATGCGTGGGAATGAGCATATGCGTAGTACTTAGAGCATGTGCGGGAATGAATATGTCTGCATCAGGTGCACATACGCACAAATGAAGTTAATAAATAAAATAAAAATAAAACATATATGCACTTCTGATAATTAAGCCCAGCTCACGGGAGTAGTGAGCAGGCCGTGCATTGCCGCTCCTAAGTCCACTCCAGGTAGGACCAAACCTGATGGGGGACTTATCAATGGCATGCCGGCTAAATTACTCCCCCTCCCACCAAGATACACCTAAGCCAGTAGGTGGGAGGTAAATCGGCTGTCCACCTCCCAAGCATGAGACAAAATATCCAGGAACGGCCCCCATTCCCGGAGGCGAAGGAGCCCCTGGTTACGGCGGCGATCAGGATCGCTCCGGAGCAGGGGGTGCTAATAATATCCGGGTAAAGACAGGCCGCCCCACGTTGATGAACCTTTGCACATACAATATAAGGACCATGAGAACTGAATCCGACTTACTAGTTTTACTAGAGGAACTCTCTTCCATTAAATGGGATGTAGTAGGACTCTGCGAAGTTAGAAGACTAGGTGAAGAGCAGAAGCTATTAAATGAGGGACACGTGCTCTATTGGAGAGGAAAACCTCTGGGTAGCAAACAGGAATTAGGGGTAGGATTCTTAATACACAAACGCTTAGAAAAGAACATTGTAGAATTCTATAGTGTCAGCGAAAGAGTGGCTTCTGTAACAATAAACTAAACACTAGGTACAACTTAAATTATTCAAGTATATGCTCCAACCTGCAGCCACAATGATGAAGAAATAGAGAGCTTCTATGAAGATGTTCACTTAGCCAGCGAGAGAACAAATCCCATTTCACAATAATTATGGGGGATTTTAATGCCAAAATAGGTAAAAAGACAGAGGGCGAAACCGCAGTAGGGAACCATGGAATAGGCACTAGGAACGAGAGGGGACAAATGCTAGTCGAATTTGCGGAGGCTCGATCACTCAGTATCATGAATACATTCTTCGAAAAAAGACTAGAACGGAAGTGGACATGGAAGTCGCCTTCTGACGTCAAAAACGAAATTGACTTCATAATTTCAAATAGGCGCGATAAAATAAAAAAATGTAGAGGTTATAAATAAAGTAAATGTAGGCAGCGACGCATAGAATGGTGAGAGGCGAAATTAAAATACATCTCAGAAGGGAAAGGAACAAACTAATGAGTAAACCACAGCC